GCAAGCTAACAGTAAAGTAGTTTATTGAAAATAATGTGATCTAATTGTATGATACTCATATACAAATTTACAAATTGAAAAAGAAATCTAAGCTTATAGATAAGTTGGGTTGGTAGTACAAGTTGGGCAAATGCGCTGCTAAAAAAACTCATGTTATACCATGAGGATAACTCATGTCCTAGACAACCGGACATGTTTCATTTCAAATTTGTTAAAGAAAGGTACGAGATAAAAAAAACATCCTAAACAATTCTGGGATATTTCAGAACGGCACAACAGGATAATGACTTTTGTCCACGCTATTTAGGGAGTGTTTGCAACAGATTTAAAAAATGTTTTTTCGGTTTCTGAGTTAAAAAAAGATGAAGTGAGTGTTTTCAAATGACAGTTTCTGTTTAAATTAAACACTTAAAAACTAAAAGCTAGAAGCAGGTTAAGAGGTGCTTTAAAGTGTCTTTCATTTTTTTCTTTGGGATATTTTGACTTTGCACCCCGCTTTTTGGGTGATATTGGACTTTGCACCCCGTTTTCAAAACTTTTAGACTTTACACCCTATTTTTCCTAAAATGTCTTTGCCTTTGCACCCCATCTAGGAATTTTTCTTCACAAAATGTTGTAGATAGGGTGCAAAGTCTAAAAGTTTTGAAAATGAGGTGCAAAGTCCAATATCACACAAAAAGTGGGGTGCAAACTCAAAATCCCCCTTTTTCTTTTACACAAAGATCACTTATTTTATCAAACATTAATCATTTTTACTTTTTTAAAATCACTTTTTTCTCAAACACTATTAACTTTTACTATTAAACATTTTCTCTATAATAACTTCAGAAAATCACTTTTTAAAGGTAGATGAAGTGGCAAACACTCCCTTAATGTGGATGCAAACCATCATTCTATTTGAATCCAAAATGGTTCTGAGCTTGAGTCAACGGTCAAGTTCCTACAAAATAAAACTAGACATATTCAAGTAAGGTTTTTTCAAATAGGTTAAAAAACAGGTCTGAAAATGACACAAGACTGTATTGCTCTAAGTCACTCTTTACACTTTCAATCCAAGCCCATTTTCAGGGTATCCTGAATTATTTTCAAAGTGTCCTCGCTCCAAAAGTCCATGTTATATGGAGTATTTACGCTTTGAATACAAGTCAATTGGAGTCTTCTCTGGACTCTTTTTAAGTTTCCCATAGTCCACTTTTTCTTTACACTTTCAACGGTTCAACCCAAATCTTTGTCTCCCCACTCCGAGAAATCTCTTACAAGGACATATACTTTTTGACGGGTGACAAACTTGTAACCATGAAAGCATGTTGCTTTACATTCATGGCAGCAACTTCCACCTTCCTATGGATTTCCTTATTGTTTACACTTTTTTGTGTTAATGCACATCCATCCTTAACAAATTTCTAGGACATGAGTTATCCTCAATTCTAGCTTTTTTTAGTTTTATTATTATTTCTATCTCATTTACTCCATATTTAATAAACTGCTACTACTCTGCTAGTTTGCAGTCTGCTAGTAAATTGTGGACAAGGAAGTGTGCATTTCTAACATAGTACTCCCTCCGTCCAATGGCGGACCCACTAAGGGACCCACGGGGTCCCGGGACCCCGTGGACTTCCAAAACAATACCTATATATTTTTAATATTTTATATAAAATTAATTAGTACCTGTATATTTATAAGCACAGCGCCTTTCAAAATGATTGACTAAAGCAGCGGAACGGGTGAATGTTAGAGGCTAAATCCTTCTCTTGATGCGGGGGTGCTGGGTTCGATCCCTACAAGGCTCCTACTTCCTTTTTGTCTTTTTGCATAATTCATTTAAATCTAATTTTTTGCATATTAATTTATTTTAATTTATACTTTAAAATTCCCTTTTTGTGTTTTTGCATAATTCATTTAAATTTAATCTTTTTGCATTTAAATTTATACTTCCTGCAAGGGTGCAGGGTTCGATTCCCTGCAAGGCTCCTACTTCCTTTTTGTCTTTTTGCATAATTCATTTAAATCTAATCTTTTTGCATATTAATTTATTTAAATTAAATTTATACTTTAAAACTCCCTTTTTGTCTTTTTGCATAATTCATTTAAATTTAATCTTTTTGCATTTAAATTTATACTTTAAACCATCCATATTGAATTTGAATTCCCAATCAAGCCACTGCTTAGTTCTTTGTTCATTTTTTACTTTTATTGAATTTTAACCTTTGCATAATTCATTTTGGGATTAATTATTAAAATTTATTTGAATGTTAAGATTAAATTATTAAATGGACTACAACTAAAACATATACAAAGTTAAAAAAAAAGGACGAAATATGTTTTATTTTCAAATGAGATTTATTTAGACCTATTAAAAGAAAAACTTGACTATATTTTCCCAAATTAGGAGTGAATGAGTCCTATTTTGGGAATAAGACATTGATTTTCATATATATTTATGAATTTTATCCATGTTTTAGTGCGATTTATAGAATGTTATCATTATTAAATTTGTGTATTTATGAATCTTTTTTCAATATTTTACGATTTAGGGTGAAAAGATATTTTAATAGTGTACCCACATTTAAAGAAATTTGGAGGATCGGGACTAGTCAAGATGTTAATTCAAATGATTCGTCATTAATAAAAAAAGAATTAGATCAAGTAATTGATGAAAGTGAAACTAATTTGGCTTATAATTTACATAAACAACATGTTGATTTTGAATCTTTAGAAGTTGATCCTAGATTGAGAAAAAACAAGATTTTCATCCTAATGTTCAAGACGTGGTACACAGCAGTTAGATTAAAAAAGGGTCGTTTCACCTTCAGGATCATGATTTCCCTTTTAAGGTAATTGGCGGCAAAAGACGTAGATTTGTTTCAAGTTGGTTTGATGAGCATTAATGGTTCAAATACACTACTGCCAAAAATATAATGTTGCATTTTGTTTAATATGTTATTTGTTTAAGAATGAGTGGGAAGTTGTTGGTGATGTGTTTTGGGAATATGGCTTTCACATGCTACATTGTGTTTACCATGTCATGTCCCTTTTAAGATCGATGCTGCATTTTTTTACCATCGTATTTGTTTAATTTTATATTAATTAGAATTACATTTAGATAGGGACCCCGTGACACTGTTTTTCTGGGTCCGCCACTGCCTCCGTCCCACTAACTTTGTTCCGTTTTGCCTTTTTCGTCTGTCCCATTAAGTTTGTCTCGTACTCCCTCCGGTTCTTTTTAAACTTCACACTTTCCTTTTTGGGACGGTCCAAAATAAACTTCACACTTCCTTATTTCCTTATTTGGCAAAGAAATCTACATCAAAACAGTGTTAACCAGTGCTAAACAGTGTCTCGACAGTGCGAAACAGTGCCAAACAGTGTCTCAACAGTGTACTCTACAGTAAAGTCAAATTTATTTCCTTAATCAATGTGAAGTCAAACTGTGATGTTTAAAAAGATCCGGAGGGAGTACCATATTTGGTAATATTTGGGTGGTTAGAATTCATTTTTACTTTATTCACACTTTATCAATCCAATATCAACCATACAAATTCATTTTTTTTTAAGTTGTGTCACACTCCTTTGTCTCAAATATAGTGGGACTGAGGTAATAATATTAGAGTGTGCCGTTGCCTAACTTTATTGAGAATTGTTGTCTAGGTGTTTGGCTCTTATTCCATTTTGGGATATTTTTCATTAGTTATCTTTCTTTTCATTTTTGGAAAGTTTTTTCAATAAATATATTTATATACTTTCATTCTCTTTTTTTTTTTTAACTTTTTCCTATTTTTTCATTTAAACACAACGAACTACACCTTTTATATTACCTCTTATTTTCCTTTTAAAACTCGTGTCAAAGTTGAAGGGGGCAAGTAATAAAGAACATATGGAGTACGTTTATTGAAGCTTTTCCGCCTAGGGCCTCCAAGTCGCTGGAGCCGGCCCTGATGGGAGGATGTAAATCACGGTGACTCAGTCAACGGAGTGACAGTAGGCCCATATACCCGTGCGCGCCAGAGGTCCAACCATTTCAAAGGGTGTAACCTCCACTCGGACGCTGCGGGATTCGAACATTTGTCCCTTGATCCAAATTTCCCACCACTCAACCAACTTAGCTACCCGTGCGGGTATTAAAGAATTAAACTGAATATAATGTTACCCTGTACCCTGATTGTACCAGCTTCAATGACCATTTGTGAATTAAAATAAGCAAAAACGAAGATCATAACTCAGATACTTATTGGGATATTTTAATGGGATAGAAATTTTCTGGTGTAATCTAGCTTGATTATGATCTAGTCTAATAGGGTCTAAATTGGTCTGGTAAATGTTTGATCTCTGGATATTTTATAATTGTCCAAGTCTGGTTTGGTATGATCTGTTCTGGTTTGAGTATTTTAATTTTGCTTGTTGTAAACTAATACTCCTGTACTACTGAGTACTGAGTATAAGTGACAGTATCATATGATATTTATTATCATTGCTATTACATTGTTAATTTTATTTTATTACAAGTGTTTTTTTATTTTAAATAATTATTAACTATTTAAAAAAGAAGCATAATTAGAGGGTAGATTTGACTTTTGAGACATTAAATAAAAAAGGCGTTAAGAAAATTCTACCATTTTTCATTTAGATCGTTCTCACAAATAATAGCCAAATCAAAACAGCTATTTGACATTATTTAACCATGTCAAACAACCAAGGCCATTCTAAGAGCTTCGTCAATGCTATAACGTGCAAGGTGCATATGTGAATGAGAGAAATAGACACAAAAGAAAAAATTTGTTCATGACATTTCACTCTCATATTTCCAGAGTCTTATGTATTTTTGGTGAGTTTCTCTCAACAATATCAATCACATTGTCTACATATAGACATTGTACTTAATATTGTTAAGAAAACTTATCAAAACATATAAAACCGTTTAAATAAAGAAAGATATATTCTATTTATTAACTTTTACCCCGAGTATATTTTATCTCCCTTATGTCACGTGTGCCCATTTCAAATTTTGCACTAAAATGCTCTAAATAACCAAAAACAAGCTTATAGATCATTTCCCAAACACCAATGTCTTTCAAAGGGCAAATGAATTGCAAGTCACATGTTTGGATCTTTATATGTTGAGATTCGATTTTGGAGATTTGAAAGAGACATCTGCATTATTATACAAAAGTATCATATACAAAGTGCACCCATATCAGGTAGTTCAGGAGCATCAGATTGATGATTAGAACCTGCAACGTTTGCAGGTCTACCGTTCTTTCCTTGCTTTTTGTCTTTTCTCCCTTTTCCATTATCGTTACTGCAAGGAAATGTACATATTTAATGACTTTAAGAAAAATCAACAGAGGCGTAACTTTTCTGTTTATTAGCTTTTATTAAAAGCATAATTTTCTGCAGGATACTTGCTGAAATTTAAAAATTGGGCCTATGATGAAAAACAAGAAACAAATTTACTATTTTGGCTTAAATGGCAGTGCATGATAGCTTCATTTTTATATACAACATGAATCAAGTTTTATATACGGGGATTATTTTCTTTGATGTATTTTAAATTTAATTTTTACACAATTCAAGTCATTTATCATATACAACCCTTTCAGCCACATTTTCACCTGCTCCAGCAAATGTTTATCATACCAAAATAGCCCCAATATGTTTGTGTCCCGTAGCCTGTTTGGCAGTGGGTTAAGTGGCTGATTATGTTGAAGGGGCTGGTTTGCTGTTGAAGTTGTAACCAAATTATTTAAATGTGCTTATTTATTGTAGAAAAGTTACTTAAAAATATGTAAATAATAGAAATTTCAATTATATCTGTTTCAGGCTTTCAGGTAGGGGTAGAGAGGGGGTGATACTTCAAGTTACTTTTGCACTACTTTTATCATCAACCTATTCAGCTAGGATAGTAAAATAAGTTAAATGGTATTTGGTAGAAAAGATAAAGAAAGGTTGATAAGACGAGAATAAAGACTAAAAACACAGTGTCTTTGATTTAATAATGAATTTCAAAAGTGATGAAAATATTCTAATATTTTCAATCCTTCTATCTAAGTTCCACAGTTTGAGGACTTCAATATTGATAGGGGTCAACCAAAATTATGTACAATCTTGGCAAAAAGCTTAAGAACTATTCTTTCATTGCTCAAAATACTTCCTGCATTGACATTGATATATCCACTGATATCCATCCATGCCAGTATTTTATCTTTGAGAATTCCTCTTTCATCTACGCCATTCTAGAGGCTAGAAGCTTGTAGAAAACTCTGCCAGTATGAAGATGTTTTCACTGGATTTTTTGTCTAGTCTACGTAAATCTATTTTGGCCTGAACTGGTCTGTCTAGTGTGAGTGAGACTGAAATAAGTTCAACTGAAAACATCCTAACAAGTTGTAATACGGGTAAAAACAAACAGTATTATATTTTGCGGAGTTATATGAAATAAATGACGCAAAAGATTTTTTTCAAGAACTATACATGGAACAGTAGTATTCATTTACTAGCTTACACTGTCAGTCTGGCAGAAGTCTTCCCAGCAACAGAACCACAACAAGACTTGTATTTCTTCTTTGAACCACAGGGGCATGCCTTATTTCGGGGAGTTTTCTGCAGCACAAAGAATCATCAAAATTGTATCTTTCTACAAATATAACAGAATAAGAAGCCAAACGTTTTCGTTTTACACAGTAAGAATGCATAAATGTAACAAATATCTACCTTTTCATCTAGCTGCAGATCACGTTTATTATGATTGCCTTCTATGCCATGGTTAGATGAATGACGCCCAGACGTAGATTCCTCAGTTTCCAAATTTTTATTATCACAGTTTCCTTCAAAGTCACATGCCACTAATAACCAGTATCAGAAGAAAAGCGAGTTGTGCCCAAATTTTGTAAAATGTAATTGGTAGTTGGAATTTGAAAGTGTTCACTGAAATCTGGAAGGATGCACAATATTCTAGAGACATGTAAATGTAGAGGGGATATATAGAGTATAGATTTACAGACATGTCGATCTGTTGTTGTGCGATCATAGACTAGTGGACTACTAAACAGAAAAGCAATAATGCGAGCATGAGGGTATGATAATCTATCTCACACAAAAAAGAGTTATGTTTGATCCAAGGTGATGTTATTTAATTTGGCTAATCGTAACTCTTAAAATAAGTCACATTGCTCATAAAATGTTACATTGAGTGTAGCTCCAAATGGATCCTTAGATGCGGGCATCACTTTACACTTTAAGACTCAAACCAAGTAGAAAAATAATACTTGTATGATATACTTAATACACCATGTCACCCAAACAATGCAGGATATCGAGACAACTAAAGATGTAAAAGCATTAATCCAGCTGACCCCAGACGACGGGGACAAACCATTGGGTAGGAAGACGTCTCAAAATCACATCAAAACAAACTATGTTACCATATTAAATTAGGTGTACCCATCTAACTCATACCAAAGGAATCCTTAAGAGATGATGTGTACCTACTACCTACACTAACATTTTATACCAAAACATAATAGACAACCAATATCAATTATCAACACTTATGATGCCCGAAACAATTTCAGTGATGGCATCTTTGTGACTGTGTTTTGGAAAATCATAGGAAACCTTTAGATAAATTAAAGAAACATTATTACTATTACAATGGATTTTAGATTCAAAAAAATGGCATGTCCCCTTTTGTGTTTCTGTACTAAACGCACCTTCGGTCTAAATTGGATGAGACGCCTAAAGATGTAAACAAATAAGTGGACTTCTTACCATGTTAAGCTAAGTACTTGACTGATCCAAAACAATGCTTAAGATTATATATTTATCACATACTTATATATTGCATTTTAACCTAGTGGATACTGTTATAATGGGTTAAACTATCATATTGAACTAAGATTCCTCTTTGGGGCTTCTTTCTTTTGGATGGAGGGAGTAGGTGTAGATGATACCATGTAGAAGAATGTAAAAATGTACTGACCGACCATTACCATGAAAAGAGTGATCTAAACATCCAGATCCATTATTTGCAAAAAAATGAATTTCAGATCCTTGTTCTGCTATAAGAAATTCAATCGCAGCATCCACATCATCACCTACTTGCTGTAGAGCCTTGAACAATATAAATACGGAGCATAAAATGTGAAAAACCAGATCAAATCATTTTATAGTTTATTATAAAGGGGGGGGGGGGGGGGCACGCAGGCATCCCCACAAAGCGAGGGTCTGGGGAAGTTTCCCAATTCCCACCACAAGGGTGTATAAGGGGCAAGCCTTCCCCTGTCAAATTTTTGACAAAAGTCCGCTCCCAAAGCTTGAACCTGCGACCTCTCAGTAATACTAATTAAAAAAATATAATAGTTATTTTAATTAAAATGGGTAATCATGAGATAAGTGTGATCTTTGAAACTACCTGCTCAGCTTTTAAGGCGTCCTCACACCCACTTCCGGACATAACTGATTTAACAGACTTCCTAACAGCTTTGGTGGAAGTCTTTACAGATTGACTGGAGGGTTTTGCTGAAATATCAGCATCAGCCTTTATATAACTTAAAATTAATTAGAATTTTAATCATTTCATTACATGAACCAAAAGTAACAATAGACTATTTTTAAAACCTTGATGATTATTTGCCTAGCTGGTCCACTGCATGTGTCTTCTTTCAATCTAACACTATTATAATGCTCTCCATCATGATAAGAACTGCAATTACAACACTCTTTCTATTGGTAAGGTATTTCATACAAATACAGAAAGCATCTCCTTAGTTATAATTTACTCTGTATAAACTATTCCATAGTCCTTGCACGAAGAAAAATACTGCAATGTGTTCAGGCGTTCAGCCGAAAGCTTAAATTCATTACATAAGCCTTCATTAGGTAAAATAATACAGTGAAGGAAAACATGACAAGGAGACCTATTATACAGTAAAAGCAATCCTGATACTGCACAATGTCAATTAGAAAATCTTTGCAAACTAGTATTTATCAGAAGGTGTGTATATATATATATATATATATAACCAAACATTCTTACATTGAAACTACAGAAACTTTTATCCCCCCCCTCAAAGGGAGTCATGTTTCAAGAAAAAAATCTCAAAGTCCAGATTTGAAAGTGAGCTTCAATTTTTAAGTAAAACTCTAGTAGAGCCATGTAGCAAGCAACTTTGATCAATTACTTCAAATAATGTTGGGATAAATATTAGGGGTATCGGTGAGTAAGTGACTATGCATAACTTGTAAAACCCTGTATCGTAAAACTTTGTATCTTTAGGAAGTTGACTAAAAAATGTTGCTACCCCCGTATATGGTGACAGATGGAGGCTTTTAACTCAAAAAAGATTAATGTAGGGTCACTACATATTTATATATATCCAATTCCTTCTATGAGAAAACTAATTTTGTCTAGTTTCACAGACTTATAAAAAAGGTTTAAGTTGTTCAACTGTAGCAGCTAAATTCCACTTTCTACACCGTGCAACTATTCCTTGAGCCCCTCTACTCTTATAGATCAATTGAGCAAAAAGATAAGTTCTAAATATCAGAGAATAGTGCTTACAGATGGATCATCACAGCTTCATGATTGTCAAAATTTTGTATGTACCAGCGAGGCGACCTGAGCTGTAAAAAAGGAAAGATATGGTTTGCAAATTAATCATTAGTCATTAGATAGCAAAAGAGCACCATAAGCAAAGAAAAAACTGTAGTTAGCAGATAGAGACAAACATTAGTCAAAACATGTTGCCAAATTCCTTATAGGGACATCATTAAGCTATGATTATACAAAAACAGAAGTAGAGATGTGAGAAGTAAAACGTACTCGATGAATGCATATGTTACTGTGAGTAACAAGAGAAGCAGCTTGTAGTTCCATGTGCCCTGCCCAAGTCCCATCCTTTTCCATTGATTCACAATAGTCAACAAATGGCACCTCATCTTCAATAAAAGGCTCAAACCTCTCACGATTCCTCTGTTAAATGTGTAGTGGAAACAATCATTGGGCTTCTATTAGAAGTCATGTGAAGTCTAGCTAACTACACTAAGGGGGCGTTTGATTAAAATAATCTCACATTACGGTAATGTGAGAGGCAACGAGAGATAACCTTGTTTGGTTCTAGTTTCCAATTTTCCATATTAGCGGGATACTTTGATATTACCACCACGTAGGAAAATAAATTAGTGTGTTGAGGTTACATCATTATCTTGGGATTCTAAGATAATGTAAGATCAGCTTGGTTGTGTTTTTAGTCTATTCCAAATCTATCCCTAACAATATCAAACAGATTAAGATTATCTTGCATTCCCTTAAAACGGCCCCTTAACAGCAAAGATCATAACTTTATTGCTTGACATAGTTAAAAATCATTCCCAAGATGTTTACCCTGATGTATTGCACAACCATACTCCGGTATTTTTCATGCTGGTCTTCAAAGCCTTCTAACTGATCAGCTACTGCTCTGGAGGGATGTTAAGAGAACAACGAAAACACAGAATAAGTGCAACCAGAACTCCTTATGGTTCTCCAAATCATAAAAATCTAGACACTAGTATGCTACAAGCAACTTCTTTCTCCTCTTGAAAAATTAACCAAGAATGCATCATTATAGCATATTATAAAGCACACAGACCTGAAGAAACAGTTACCATCTGCGGTAACTTGAATAATCTTTAAGCCCAAAGCGTCGACCTGTGCTTGGAATTCAGATATATCGACATTCTTCCCATGCTTTTTTATCTGTTATATGAATGTATCAATTAAAGAACACTTTTTTGAACAATTTGACTATGAATCATTGACAGACGAATAGTGATCAGTCCTACTTTGTTCTGCTTGTTACTTGGTTTGGACTTTTGATGCCTTGTTTTAGCCATGATTCTACAGCCACACCTTCAACAGCTCCCTTGCAAAATACTGTCGTAATAGATAATCTTCCTTTCGCCGTCTGTCTAATTGACTGTTTGGCTCTTTTCGCGGCGACTGGTGCTTGGGTTTATTTATTTAACCTAATAATGTTGTTTAATGTAGTGGTTTAGATTTTAGAATGGATTAAGAAGGATTTCAATTGGATTCAAATTTTTTGGTCTCCTTTATTTATGTTTATTTTATAACTGTCAAATTTGATATGATCAATCTAATCTGATCTGATTCGGGGTACTATATGATCAAAATAATGAAATAAAAACATTCTAAAAAGTAACTCGAATTAACTTTTGCCTAATTAGACTTTCCAAATTTGCCAACTTTTTTATTTTAATTATTAATTAAACAAAAATAATTTCCTTAAGAACAATATTTTATATTTTCACTTATTTCTTGCACCTTTATAAAATCTCGATCATATATCTTTTACTTTTCTTGTTACTAGTATATTTTTAAATAATCCAAAGCACACCAAATTCAATCATTTTAATGTCTTATGGAAGGAAGTAGTACCTGTTCATTTTTAAGTTTCCATAATTATTACTTCAACCTTATACTTTCAAAAGTCAATTACACAGCTCTTTAATTTTATTTTTAATAGTTATTGTCTATATATATCTCATTTAGATGCTACTCCGTATATTGCTATAGGGTGGGATTCCAGTTTAACTTTGGCCAACCAAATCGTACCTGACCAAATTAAATCAAAGTGAAAATCATATATAATTCGTTTTGAGTTTGGCATTATTTATACAAATCATATTTAATCGAATCAAGTGTAAATAATCATTGAACTAATAAAGAAAATCAATTAAACCTAATATTTTATTAATTCAAACCGAACCGAAGTGAATAATGTCAAACATAGCATGGTTTTTACTTAGGTGGTTATTCGGTTATTCCAAAGTGTTTCGAATTGGAGTGGAAATCGATAAAAGGCAAACAAAAACTGGAACACCTATCACTAATCATAATTATAAGGAAAAATCATACGGAGTACGAATATTACTAATAGCCTTTTGAAACTCAAAAAGTGAATATTTTTCCTTTCTTCAATTTTTTTTAATTAATCCAAAATTTTCTCATTGTATTTATATCCAATTTATGCTCAGATCTTACCTTTTTTGGATAAACTGTAAATATATATACCAAAAGTGTTTATGTACATCATTTGTGCAATACATCCAACATATATTGTCGTGGCCATCCCAAGTAAGGATGCCTCATCACCTTCCCAAAACAACAAAAATAGACTACACGGCTATCTAGCTCAGATCTTACCCACATTGCCATAGGCGGTTTGAATAACATCGTTACAAAATTTTCCAATAGTCGTAATAGCATGTTTCACGACAGCAATGGCATCTGTGGTGGCAAAAACAAAATTTGTTATTAAGAATCTAATCGTGACATCATGATTTTCAAAATATTACATTGTTACTCACGTTTTTATCAATATGTAGAAGTAATCCCTTTTGGAAATGGGTCAATTTAGTCATTAATAAAAGAAATCCCTTTATTATGATCCATAGTTGTTAGACGATTTGGGATGCTTTTATTTGGATTGAAATTTTCTGGCCTGATCTGGTCTTTTCTGAATTGGTCTGGTCTGAATTGGTTTGGTCTGGTAAATATCTAGTCTCTGTGTATTTTACAATTATCCAAGTCTAGTCCGGTTTGATATGATCTTGTCTATTGTAGGACTGAAAATAGTCTAAATAGAAACATCTTTGTAGTCCGAAGGTATTAGAAATACATCCAAAATGTTGAAAATGGAGATCTTATAAAGTTCTCCGTGTCCCTACACGGAGGGTTTGCAATTTTACATTATGTTTTTCTTATCTACACTATAAGACTATGACTCATTGTCACATAGAACCTTGATTCCACCCGCAATGAGGTGCACACCTTGAAATTTATCATCCTCCCTTAAGAGATTGAGGGGTGTTTTAATTGATTCTGCTTCTATTTTTTCCAAAACATGAGATCCAAAATCATTTTTAGAAGCCACCCCCCCTGGCTTTTAAAAAATTCTTTCTGCGAGCAATTTGGAGCACCCAAAAGTACTTTTGCACTTTCCCTCAAACACTTTAATATCTACTTCTGCTTTTTTACGGAGCAAAAGAAGTTTCAAGAAATATATCCAAACATCTCTCGAGTCCGTTAACGTGATTATTGACATTTGTTTCCTCAACTTCTCTTTTTAGCTTCTTCTTTTTCTATCATTGTGAATCCTCTTGTCATACACTTCCTCTCCAAGAGGCCAAAAAAACAACATGAGCAAAGGTCATGCCTTCCGATGATCGGTTCTTTCTTGGACTTCTAACTTTAGTGCATCAATTCTAGAAGTATTCAAGGACCCATTCGCATTAGTCGCTACCCAAAAAAACTTAGATGGTTTCTAGAATTCATGTTTTTCTCTCCTCGTTGATCTTTCCTTACATTAGATTAGTGTATTCTTTCCTCTTTGAATTTGCCTCTACCACACAATCATACTTCATAAACTCTCATACGAACCGATTTCATTACATTAAATTGTTTTCCTTCGATCTACTCCACCATATCATGACAGCCCCTCAATAATCGTGACAGTTTTTTGGAAAACTGCTCGAAACTGCCCAACCGTTCTAGAACTCGCTCTAGAACCACAGAGCTGGTCTACTGAAAGTTATACCTCAAGTTCCACCTCAAGTTCCACTAACATAGACAATTTGGAATTAAACTAATTCTTATATACAAATGTGCACTCTGCACCTACTAACTTGTATTAGATCATAGTTCTAATTCTCATTGGCACTCATCTCATTTCCAATTACACAAAACGGCCGGTGACACTAAAATCTCCAACAATCCTCCCCTATTTTAGTGTAACCCATGAAATGACATAACAAAGTTTACAAACCAAACTTGCACATAAATGGAAATATCGATACGATTGAATTCCCACCGTAGTATTTTACACATTCCAAAAATTCGAGAATCAGGGTGTCCTATGGATTGAACCCGTCAACCCATATGAATACCTGAAGATAAAACACATACAAATTTCTATACTCAACTAGAATACAAACTTGAATGCCCAAGAAATGGCACCTCTCCAAAGCAAGAATACTCAACCACTTGTAGAATAATGATCCTCTACATTAGATATCCAACTGGCATTCGAATATTCTTCTAACACCAAAGGATACTTAAAATAACACAAACCATAATCCACAATTCCCTTTAAATACTTGAACAATATCTTCATTACTTGTCAATGCTGAGTACTAAGATTACTAGTATACCGGCTCAACCTACCCACGTCATAAGCAATATTCGGCTGGGTGTTTGTCATGGCATACATCAAACACCCAATGGATCGAGAGTACTCAAGTTGTGATATTACCTTTCCTTTATTAGGCATCAACTTCACACTAGGATCCATGGGAGTACTAACGGGTGAACAATCACTATAATTAAACCTTTTGAAAATATTCTCAACATAGTGAGCTTGTGTCAAGACAATTATTTTATTTACCCGTTTAATCCTTATTCCCAGGATCACATCCGCCTCCCCCATGTCCTTCATAGAAAACCTTGATGATAACAACATTTTAGTTTCATCAACCTGATTTTGGTTCGTTCCAAAAATCAGCATGTCATCAACATAGAGACATATGATCACACCCGCCCCTAAGACATCAAATCGGCTATAGACACACTTGTCCGATGGGTTTAAACTAAAACCATTGGACAAAATAAATTCATCAAACTTTTGATGCCATTGTTTGGGTGCTTGTTTTAGCCCATACAATGATTTAACAAGTTTGCATACCTTATGCTCATTTCCTGGCATAAAAAACCTTCCGGTTGTTTCATGTAAACTTCCTCATCAAGATCGTCATTAAGAAATGCCGTCTTGACATCCATCCAATGTATAATCAGATTGTGTATAGCCGGCAAAGAAATTAACAACCTAATGGTTGTAATTCAAGCAACAGGCACATATGTGTCAAAATAGTCAATTCCGGATTTTTGTCTAAAATCTTGAATGACTAACAAAGCCTTGAACCTGTCAACAGTTCCATCCACTTTCATCTTATTTTTGAAGATCCATTTGCAACATAAGGGTTTAGAACTCAGTGGGAAATCCGACAACACCTAAGTTTTGTTCTCCATAATTGATGACATTTCATCATCAATTGCCTCCTTCCAAAAGGCAACATCTCGGGGACTCCATTGCCTCTTTAAAGGTCTTTGATCATTCTCATCTTGGTAACAATATGGATATTGTACCCCTACTTCATCCCTTGAACCTTCCACCAAAGTCTTTCACGATGCGGCCTCATTTGCTTTTCCTAATTTGCGGTGCTTCGGGATTCAAAATACCATGCAAACATTCAGGAACTTGCACCTCACTAGTGTTTGGAACTAATTCCTTTGGTTTTTGAATTGGTGAAAATCTCATCTCATCAAAGATCACATCTCGAGACTCAATCACGGTGTTAACCGCTACCACATCGTTACGTTCTATTACATAAAACCTATAAGCCTTGGAATTTTTAGCATACCTTATGAATATGCAATCAATTCCACTTTCCCCCATAGTTTTCCTTTTGGGCTCGGGCAATTTGACAACCCGCCCTACAATCCCAAACGCGAAAATATTTCAAATTTGGCGCTTTTTTGTACCAATGCTCATATGAAATTGTCTTGTTCCGTTTGTTTGGAACGCTATTCAAAACATAGCAGGCCGTGAGCATGGCATCTCCCCAAAACCCTTCACTCAATCCTGAGTAGGAAAGCATGGAATTAACCATTTCCTTTAACACTCGATTTTTCTGTTCAACCACACCATTTTGTTGTGGTGTATACGGAGCCGTGGTCTCATGAATAATTCCAACAGATTGAAAATAATGAGGATCCATATATTCTCCTCCCCGATCAGTCCGAAGACATTTAATTGGATTACCCAATTGCAATTCAACCTCGATTTTATACAATTTAAATTTCTCTAAAGCTTCATCCTTAGTGTGCAATAAATACACATAACAAAACCGAGTTGAATCATCAATAAAAGTAACAACATACTTTTTATTATCAAGGGAAGCAGTTGAGTGAAAGTCACATAGATAACTATGTACAAGATTCAAAATAGTCGAATTCCTTTCAATATTAGGAAACAGTTGTTTTGTGATCTTAGTAAGCATGCAAGTTCTACATTTATCATTATTAATACCAAAAGCAAGAATTAAACCATCTTTAGACATTTCATGCATTTTTCTATAATTAACGTGAGCTAATCTGGCATTCCAAATAATACAATCATTAATGGAAGATGCCACAAAAATAGAATTATCATTAGAAATTAATTTATTCACAACATTTAAACGAAACATGTGATTTGATAAATATCCAAAACCAATAAACACACCACACTTGGACAAAATATATTTATCGGATTCAATCACTTGTGTGAACCCTAAATTATTCAACAAAATTCCCGAAACAAGATTCTTTTGAACATACAAAACATCAAACAACGTAATTGTTTTTCCAGAAGTAAATTCTAAAACAACTACACCCTTTCCCAAGATTGGCGCCATTGACTCGTCTCCCATGCTTAAGAAGGAACCGACCTCCACTGGTTCTAGGTCTTCAAACCATCCTTTATCCTTACACACATGGCTCGTAGCCCCCGAGTCAATCCACCATGCACAATTATCATCTTGTACATAAAAAGATTCTGGAATGAGTGATACACAATTCTGGATAGAATTATCAAAGTTAGTCAAGAACTGGCCTCCTTTCCGTGGAACCAGGTCCTTAGACCGTTCCTGTCCACTGACACTCGTTCCAGCACCATTCTTGTTCAGTTTCACACGGCAATCACGCTTGACATGTCCACCCTTTTGATACCTCCAACAAATCAAACCTTTTGATTTAATTTCTTGTTGGGTTTGTCATGGTCTTCATACATGCGCCTTTTGCCTTTCCCCTTATCTTTCGGGTTAGATCTATTATCCTCAACCAAGTGAACACGAGGCTGTCCAGATTCAACTTCAACCATAATTTGGTCATTCTCTTGCGCACGAAGAGATTCCTCAATGTGCAAGTGACTCCCAAGTTGAACCAATGACAACTCCTCATCTTGATGTTTTAAATAGCATTTAAAATCCTTCTAAGAGGGTGGAAGTTTGTCAATTATACTCGACACGGCGTAAGATTCATCAATACCTACCTTGTGGAGTTTAAATTGACCAAGAATATGAATGAGTTCATTGTATTGTTCCATAACCGGCCTTGAGTCAACCATTTTATAATTATTAAAATCACTCACCAAGAACTTCTTACTATAAGCATCCTCGGCGACGTATTTTGACTCAAGAGAATTCCACAATTCCTTAGCACTCTCAACGATTTGGTAAATATCAAATAACGCATCGGACATACCGTTAAGGATGTGGCCTCTATATATGTAGTCATCGTTCTCCCACTAGTTACGCCTCCTAGTTTGTTCCAAGGTTTAGTCCTCCATCACTTCCAGCATCGGAGTGCTCAACACGTACACAACCTTCAAAGTGGTGAGGAGGAAGTGCATCTTCTTTTGCCATCTACGGAAATCGTTCCCTTGAAACTTGTCCAATTTGTTAAACTTGGATGTCATCTCTTCCACGGTACTCATGATTATCACAAAGAAAGTATCAATTCGATTGTTGGGGTATCATGCACGTAGGGGGTGATAATCGAGTACTTGGATTGCTTAAGGATTGTGTAAGTTCACTTTCCGAATTGATATTTCTCCCATATTCCTGGGTTACAAGAAATTCAATCTAGGATAATCATTAAGGACACTATAGAACTTAGGCACAAGAACTAGAGCCAAACTAGTGAGTATATGGATTGTTTTGCTTTAATTTGAGTGCCAAAGTGATGAAAATGTGTTGGATATATTTCCTCTCCTTCTCTTTACGAAATATGATACACACACACAAGAATGTTCAGGTCCGAACGTTCGGACGGGAGCCTCCGTCCGAACACCGTTGTTTGGGGCGATTCCCAGTGGATTTTTTTGATGAAATTTTTTGAGCATGCTCCCCTCTTTTCTATCCTATCGATGAAGTCTTCCCAGCTATCCAATTGCTGCAAGGGAAAATCCATCAGTTTGAAAAAGAATTATCTGAGTGAAGCAAGAGCAAATTTCAGCTCACAATTCGATCGGGAAGACATTCAAATCATTTTTTGAAGTTGACTGCATTTTTATATGTATATTTTGACGCAGTCAACTTCAAAAAATTATTTGAATGTCTTCCCGATCGAATTTTGAGCTGAAATTTGGTATGGTCAAACTAGACTTGATCAGAAACATGCTCAAAAAATTTCATCAAAAAATTCCACCGGGAAGTGCCCCAAATGGCCATGTTCGGACGGGGGGCTGCTGGATAGGATCATTCCTCTCTCTCTCTCTCTCTATATATATATATATATATATATATATATATATATATATATATATATATATATATATATATCCATATTCACCGTCCTAGGCAGTTGCAACACATTTAAGAATAATCGTGGCAGTTTTTGGAAAACTGCTCGAAACTACCCAACCGTTCTAGAACTCGCTCTAGAACCACAAAGCTGGTCTTACTGAAAGTTATACCTCGAGTTCTACCTCGAGTTCCACTAACGTAGACAATTTGGAATTAAACTAATTCTTATATACAAGTGTGCACTCCACATCTACTAACTTGTATTAGATCATAGTTCTAATTCCCATTGACACTCATGTCATTTCCAATTACACAAAACCTCCGGTGACACTAAAATCACCAACACATCTTTTCAAACATTAGAAAAACGACCCACCTTTCACAAAAGATAAATTATATAATGTACTACGTAGTTTATTTGGCATTTTGTTGTTGCAAAATCTAGAATTTTATTCAAATGAATCATGTATAACGTATATTGCGTTCTAGTTTAACTGAATTTGATATAAATGTAATGTGCTATTGTTATTGCCAAACATCTTTCATAAAAGTACTAGCCTCCGTTTCTTTGTGGTTGCAACATAAATAATTTTACATTATTCGCATGCTCTGTTTTGTCTACATTAGTTTATAAATGTATGAGATATTTTTGAATAATATTATTGAATTCGTCTCATTACAGATTTTCATAGTCCGTCTTTTAATTTGTTCACTAATAGAGAATTAAATATAACGACGATCAAAGTTATGCGCCGGAAACTCGGAAAGGGTGAAAATATAGGATAAAATACAAGTATACTTTATTACTTGACTTCGTCATAATGAACGTAAGAAATGTATAAAGATTAAATGATGTATGCTTAACATGTACTCGTATTTTTTATATTTAAATAATTTATTTATATTCTAAAGATGAAGAATGAAGACAGATACAATCATACAAACAAGGGGCATAGCTATGTGAACCAACTTACTAACTTAGATCTTGACTCACTTCAAATTTCAATTTTGTTTAAATTATTAAGGTAAAAACATTGTGTTAAAGTTTCAAACAATATTTTTTTGTATCGGTCCACCACTCCACCCTAAGGGGCATTTGGTAGGATGTAAAATAATCACTTTGCATGCGAAGTGTAAGGAAGTAAAATGTTTACATTATTTGATATGATTATTTAACGTAAACTGTAAGACACTATTTTAAAATATTTCGCATTGTACCATGTAAAGTATTTTACGTGGGGGGTGGGTGTTAAAATACTAAGAATGCCTTTTATGAAGCATCGCAATGACTTTGCGTGCAATTTAAAAATAAATTACACATCTAGTCAAACAATGTAATTTATTTTACATATAAAATGATTGCTTCCCTATATTTGCATGCAATCACTTCTCGTGTAAAGATTTAGTGTGTAATTTATTGTTGTTCTGCTTGCCTCTCTCATGGAACACAATTTTTTATTATTATAAATATTTCAAGTTCAATTCATTTTAAGATTTTTCAATGTAAAACCAAACCAAAGTATATACAGAGTAGAATCAAACTTTACTGAATTCTTTTTAGATGTATTGAAAGAAGGTTGCTGTGAAACGGGATAATACAATAAATATATTCAAACATGGATCCAGAGGAAATCCACCTCAAAGGCCTCTCAAACTAAAGTAGTTGCGGAGAGTAATGGCATCTTCTGCTGCTCTATGCCATTCTCCCGACCTACCGGCTCTCATATTTTGCTTTCTCTCTTTCTGAAACATTAAAGCGCGCTCATCTGGTCCTCTATGACTATATTTGTCTGCTATCCGCGTCCTTAAATTGTCTGGCCGCCTAGTTTCGCGGCGGAGCGCAGTGGTTCAGCATGAAGATTTTTCGGATATTTAACAGAATAGGAGCTCAACAAGGTTTCTGTTCTGTTGGGCACTTACTCCTTCTACTTTCCTTTATCCTTTCAGTTGTCTTCTTCACCACTTCTTATGCCGCCTGTTCTAACGGCACTTGTCAGGTTCTCCCCTGTGTTCTCTCTGTGTGTGTGCAGATCCATTACTTTTCCAAATTGTTCTAAAAGAAATAATGCCGAATTTTGTTATTTCTTAAAATTCCAGCTCCTGGATTCATGTTCTGCCCCCACGGACTGTGGGCAGGGGCTTTACTGCGGGAATTGCCCTGCCATGGGGAAGAATCAACCATTTTGCATTAGAGGACAGGCCACTATACCCACTTCCATTGTGAGTTTATGTATTCTTTGTTTCATTTTAAAGTATTGATTTTTTTAAAAAAGGGATAAGGGTCAGATAGGGCCTCAAACTCGAAAAAAAATGTCAAATAAGGTCATATTTAGGATGCTCTGTCCGGCCGACGCCATTTGGGGTGGTTTCCGATGGAATTTTTTGATGAAATTTTTTGAGGATCTTCCTCATTAAGTCTAGTTTACTCATACCAAATTTCACCTAAAAATGCAACCGGGAAGGTAGTCAAATGATTTTCCGAAATGTACGGGGTTGTTTAACTTCACAATTATCTTCAAAAAATCATTTGACTACCTTCCCGGTTGAATTTTTAGCTGAAATTTGGTATGGGTAAACTAGACTTAATGAGGAAGATGCTCAAAAAAATTCATCAAAAAATGGCATCTGGAACCGCCCCAAATGGCGTCGGCCGGACAGAGCATCCTAAATATGACCTTATTTGACATTTTTTTTCGAGTTCGAGGCCCTATCTGACCCTTATCCCTTTAAAAAAAGTGTATTCTTTGTATACTTTCCTGCCGGGGACGAGAGGAATAGGGATACTGTCGATATAATTTTGGATTAGGTGAGACCGTGAGAGGAATGGGTATTATCCATAGAATTTAGGGTTTGGTCAGAGTGACTTTTAACTAAACCTATGATACAAGAGCAGGACCGAGAATCGACCAGCCAAGTGAACCAGTTTAGGGGTCAAATTGGAGTCCGGCCATGCTAATAATTTTTGTATGCTATGTATTACGAAGTATCACATACGTTCCAACATATGGTTTTTGTCCTTTATGGACCAAAGATGTTATCTGATTATTTGTCTTGCACCTTTCTAGGATAAGATGAGTGAATGACTATTACAGAATTTGGTTATATCTTTGTGAAGTTAGATATACAACTTTATTATATCAAAGAGACTTACAAAAAGAAACTGTTCAAATTGATGGGTTTTAAGGGTTTTACCTGGTTTTACGTTGGCCTGGTTTTGAGTAGTTCCGATTTTTTAGATGACTGACCCAGTTTGGTGACCGAGTCGACCCAGCTAGGCTGGTCTGGTTCTGGTAATATATAACTAAACATCATATTAAATAGAACCAACTAGCTAGTTCAAGCCAAGGTTATATTTCCATGTGGACTTTAACTTACAAGTAATGAGTTTATTCAACAGAGGTCATACAGATCTTTCTTCACCTTTTTAATGCTTTAACAAATGCACTTTATATGGGGTGGCAGGTGAGTGGGTTGCCCTTCAACAAGTACTCATGGCTGGTGACACATAATTCATTCTCTATAGCTAATGCTCCATTACTGACAGGAGGACAAAGAATTACCTTCATTAATCAAGAAGACTCCGTTACCAACCAGTTAATGGTATGAGATTTTTTATGCTTGCTGACTTAGCAAAATCTTAAATTAGATTCCTATAAATTATCTGTGATGCATGTTGTTGATTTGAGTCTTGTGCTTCCAGAACGGAGTTAGAGGATTCATGTTGGATATGTATGACTTCGAGAATGATATTTGGCTTTGCCACTCCTTCCATGGCCAATGTTTCAACTTCACTGCTTTTGTAACATTCTCACGATCTCAATTCTTTATTTGGGATTTAATAACGTCATCTTTGAAGTAAAAAAATATATGCGATTCACACTGGATTCATGCAGGAACCAGCGATCAACACACTTCGAGAAATAGAAGCTTTTTTGGCTACAAACCCTTCTGAGATAGTTACCATTATAATTGAGGATTATGTACATAGGCCTAAAGGTTTGACCGAAGTGTTCAACGAAGCTGGACTGGACAGATATTTGTTTCCAGTATCTAAGATGCCAAGAAAGGGTGAAGATTGGCCTACTGTATATGAAATGGCTTCTAAAAACTACCGTTTGCTGGTTTTCACCTCTGATTCTTCGAAAGAAAGAGAAGAAGGAATAGCCTATCAATGGAGGTACATGGTGGAAAATGAGCGTAAGTACTATAGAATAATAAATGATAACTTATACAAATGTATTTCCTAAAGGCTATTACTCCCTCCATTATTTACTAGTTGCTTATAACGCTTTCAGTACCTCTCACCAAGTCTAAGATGGGAATAGTAAGGGTTGTTAATAATAGGAACGAGAGAAAAAACAAGGGTATATTAGTAAAAGTAAAAGTAATGGTAAAACTCGCCAAATAAGGAAATGGAGCAGATAACAAAAAACTTCCCGGAAAAGGAAAGTGGAGCTAGTAATAAAAAAAGTATAACGTTTATGGAGAAAAATAAAAGCCTAAAGCCTTTAGGAATAATATGAAACAGAACGAGTCTTCAATTGTGACCATAATACTACTGAGAGCTGGTTTGTTGGGCTTTGTTTTGAGCATGTGGCCTTACTGGCTAGTCTTATCACTCAGCACTAATTATTACTCCTCCCATCCCAAAATAGTCTTGTTTGAGCACTGTACAACATCTTTATATTTTGAGTCAACTCATCAAGGTACAAGCTTCACAAGATGCAAATTGTCATTTATATACGAACGTATTTCCAAGGTTGTTTGAAGTACTTGACTAAACCCACTTGCCGTTTGGCTTTAGATTGACACATGTTTAAAATGATAGTTGACTTTTAATACTGGGCCAAAGAAAGTATAACATACAAATGAATCCATCATCTCTATGAAATTTGTATGTATATTGTCCCCAATGAAGAATCATATGGTGATGCTCATCAGCTGGAGATCCTGGAGTGAGAGGCTCGTGCACTAATAGGAAGGAATCAAAGGGACTTAATTCAAGAAGTGCATCTCTATTTCTAATGAATTACTTCCCTACAATTCCTGATCAAAATGAAGTTTGTAGAGAGCACTCTACTGCACTGGTTGATATGGTTAGCAGCTGCCACAAAGCAGCTGGGAATCTGATGCCAAATTATGTGGCGGTAAACTTTTACATGGTAAATAACTCCACACTGCTCTCTGGATAAATTAGCGAAAGTGAAAACAGTGCAGCTATATATCTCAACAAAGCCATTCTAATTAGAGATAAATTATATTAATAATAATGAACTGCAGAGGAGTGATGGAGGGGGTGTTTTTGATGAGCTGGATCGAATGAATGGTCAGTCTTTGTGCGGATGCAATACAATCTCTGCTTGTGAGGTTTGTCTTTCCCCTGAATAAATTTCCAGAAACTTGATGGTGGTATTTCAAAAGTTCGCTTTGGTTTGGGGGCCTTATTTGGCGTATTGTGCTAATGTCACTTTTATCTTTCTTTTTGTAGTAGTAATAGATGTTACTGAACTCTCCTGTCTTCCATAAACTTCATCATATGCCTACCAAACAGGCTTTAGTTGTTATATTTTGGGATTGGATGCCACTAGTTATTTTGCTCTACATAGTAAACAGTATGTGAAGTATTTATTACTGCTTATATGATTAGAGTTTGTCAAAATAGCTGCTAGAACCTTACACTCCTTTCATACGTTTGTCTCATTTTTCCTTTTTCATCCGTTCCACTAAGTTTGTTCTATACCATATTTCTTAATACTCATGTGGTTCTAAAATGTTCTTACTTTATTCACACTTTACTAATTCAATACCAAACACATAATTCTACCTTAATAATCGCACCACTCTATGATGTTCCAATCTTAGGGGCAGAGGTAGTAAATGTTTACTCCACTTCTCTCTCCATCTATTTGTGCATTTGGTGCATTTGTATTTAGAAGTATGACTTTTTTCTGTATTAATACTGAAATAAAACTATGGTTAAAAAGCCACTGCAAACATAAAGTATTCCTACATATTACATAAGTAAAACTATGTTTTGGACAAAAAATACTACTAGGCCACTATAACCACGGCGAATAGCCATCATGGTGACTACCATGGAAAATTGAATATCACTCAGCTACTACAACATGTGAAAAACTACTATGATTAGTAGACATTTTAGTCATATACTTGTCAGAATTCGTAGGACGTACTACATATTTTTCAATGTGAAAATTTTAAAATGCTTATCCTCAAGGGCCACCTTACAGGCTGGAGGACGTTATGGAGTTTGCAAGGACATTGCAGCGTCTAGTAGAACTCCAGGGATAAACAGCAACGGAGGAAGTTTTTCTGGGTCGGTCCAAATGACAGGGTCAGCTGCATCCACGAAGCTCACAAATGCAATTTATGTTTTCTTGATCTGCTGGCCCTTGATGATCCCATTTTTACTATGATTATTGGTCTGAAATTGTCATGGTTTCATCTTCAATTGTGGGTTACAGCGGGCAGGCCATAACAGTCTGAAGTTGTTTTTTGTCGGTTGCTCGAAAGGTGTACTTTCGATTGGCTGGTTACAATCAGAAAAATGAATTGAAGAAGTCAAGAAAAAATTCCACGCTTGCGGTGTGCATTGTTAAAATGTGAAGTTTGTATTTAATTTCTCTCAGACTTCAGTGTCAGTCATTGGCTGCCTGTATTATGTATATTAGTTATTTGAAAAAAAAAAATAGTTATTTAAGAAGCAAGAAGTATTGATCTTTACAAGAATTGCTTGACGTCAGCTAGAAGTATTAACCTTTATAAACCCATCTCTGCACGATAGTTGCACATTAACCCTTACAATTGTGTTGTGTTATATTGTCTTTTTTATGAAAAAATTGCTCATCATTTTTCTAACAAAATATACAATACTCCGTCAGTCCGTACTTAGTAATAGACTAATAGTGTTGTGTGAATGTGTGATATTTAAAGTGTTACTTTGTTAGAGACAAGTCCTGCATTGAATCAATATCAAATACTTCTTGCATTTGCTTTTATTAGCCTCAATAAATCTTCACAATAATCCAGAGGAAGCTAAAAGAGTAGAGGAAAATGTAGTATTTTACAGTAGGAGAAGGAATAAAAAGACTAAATTAGTGCCTGTTTTCAGTTTCAGGTAAAAACCCGTCTAAACCGGTTCTGGATCTGGTCTCACATTTATTGACCATTTACAAATTCAGATTATAAACGCAAACACAAGTTCTTCAAATCAGGCCATATATTCAGTTTCCAAGCACAAAAACTTTATTGAGTTGGGGAATAACAATTGAACGAAGAAATGGTAGGGTAATATGTACACAATAAATTAATACATGCATGAAGCATCAGTAAAACTCTATGCACATAACAGACAATGAGGGTTGCTTAAGCGATAGGCCATATGGAAACGCTGTCGATGCTAGTTGGAAGCAGTTCTTTGGGTTGAATTTGAAGAGCTGGACTTATAGTGAGCAAAGCAATGAAGCACTCCACAGATATCCTCATTCCCCAAACATTGATGGATTCAAGTTTGCCACATTTGTTTACAAGCGCTAAGAGTCCACTCTCAGTTACATGGCGGCAACCCCATAGCACAATACTCTGCAAAAGAAGTACAAACTCAAGTAAGTTGTAAGTTGTAACTCAAGAGGAGTGAAGAGGCTGACATAAGGGAGAGGTCTCATATTCGATTCCACGCAAAGACTTGAACTAAAACTCAACTCTCTCCACTCGCACCGGTCTAAGATCAAAACTCATTTTTCATCCTTAACTGCCTTGCCAGTTCTAGCCCCCTGGCCCTAGGAATGGGTGTCATCATTTTTATATTAACTTTTTGTTAATTGCTATCATTGTTAAATAACTAATGTGAATCAATGGTGATGGATTAGTTCAGTCTGGACGCAGGATTTGTCCCATTAAAATTCAGAACTTTGATTCTTAGTTGTGGTTCTTATTACTGACGGTTCTCATCCAGTTCAACTCGAATTGTGATTTAAAGTGTATTTTGTGAAGTGGTTTAAGTCCTGGGTTCAGGATCGCCGGTTCCTGTCCTCCATCTGATAGAACCCGTTCCTATATTCAAGTTCCCAATTGACAAATTTGGCTCTAGAACCAACTCTTTCCGCACCATTTGACAGAATCAGGACCTTATTTTAACCCTTGTTTTATTTCTATTTGTTTTATTTACCTTTAAGTGTGGGCAGCTGTTAGCTATGGCAAACAAAGATATGTCTGTTATGAATGTGCCACCAATATTCAGATGTTGTAGAGAGGTAGCTCTGGAAATCTATTGCCACACAAAAAAAAACAGATGAATAAACCCAGCCAGGAACAGGAAAGCTTCATACTAAGAGCCCGTCTGGTAACGAAAACGAAACCAGCTGACCAAAAGTTACTTGTTTCGTGGAAATGTTGGCTGATATGATTGATAAGCCAAAAAACGGATTACCAAACGGCTCTAAATGAAACAACAACAAAAGCAGGGACAAAAGATATACTCCATATCCTTACCAGTTGAACAACACCTTCATCTGTGATTCCTGTCGTCCCCCACAGAGACACAGAACACAGTTTGCCAATACAATTCGCCATAGACAATTGATGCAGTCCATGATCTGTTATTTGGCACCCCCACCGGCTTCTTGAGCTGATTGAACCATAAATTAGGTGAACTACTTCAACAATTTCACATAAAAGAGTCATCAGAGTAATTTAAATTTACATGTCCAGGTCCTTAAGGCTGTAAGCATGGAGAACAAGGCGAGTTGAGGAATCATCGTCCACTTTCCAGCCGGAAAAACTCAATCTTTCTCTCCTGGCCAACGATTCTTTCACTCCCTGCCTCCATTTCCGGCTCACGCTGCTCGCCCTGCAAATCCAGTCGGGTAAGTTAAACAGAGGCCGCCAGGGAGATTAAGGAAGGAAATTAAAAAAAGAGAAAGCTTACTGAGCTAAATCCTTGAAGCAGGTGAGAAGAGCTAATATATGAGCCAATAGGTCGACGGGGAGGCGATCAATCTCCGTCTCTTCTTTCCCTTCTTCTGCTCTTCTCTTCATGGTTCTTCTCTGGACAAAAGATTATGTTTTCTTCTTCTTCAGAAATGGCGCAAAAGAGTTAAAGAAGAAGAGAGAGAAATTTGGGGAGGGGGAAAGTGTTGTCATATACTCGTCATGTTAGAGACATTTCTTTGTGGTAATATAAAAAAGTCCAAAACGAAGGAGGTTACTTTTGGTACCTTAATTGCAAGTTGCAACTGCATACACGGGCTAAATTTGAAGGGTCTGTTTGCAACCCATTAAAAAAAGTGCTTTTAACTTTTGTTTAAGAAAAAAACACTTATTTTATCAAACACTACCAACTTCTACTTTCTCGGCTTCCGTGTAGAATCTACTTTTTACTTTTTCTATTACACAAAAAACACTTATTTTACCAAACACTACCAACTTTTACTACTAATCACTTTTTCCTCAAAAGTGCTTTTATTTAAGTAGAAGTGGTTGCAAACAAAGCCGAAGTTACTCCATATGATATACACCCTCCACCCTCCGTCCCGAAAAGATTCGTCAACTTTGACTTTACAAGAATAAAGTAAAAATTATGTGGTTGAAATTTATGCAGAGGAGAGAGAATTAACTTTAGCCACATATTTCTTACTTTAAATGGAAATGGTAAATCTTTTTAGGACATCTAAAAAAAGAAATTTGGCAAAACTTTTCGGGACGGAGGGAGTATATACGGTAGATTATCAAAATGATGCAATGGAGGGACAGAGGGAGTATATACGGTATATATGGTACCCTTGTCAGAATGATGCAATGGATTTTTTTAAATCCAAATTAAAAATTATATAATGATTTGGACCAATCCAGTGAATGGTAGGTACGATACCTCATTTTTAAATGGGTACCGGAGTTGTCACCTATATATACGCCGTATTTGCAACTTTGGCGACATTTGAAGGTCATGAACACAAAAGGTTGATAAACCATTAATTTTATTCCCTAAATAGGAATTATTCTGCCAAATTTAGAAAAATGTCATGGCACTGCAGATCTTTTTTATTATATAGGACCGCTTCATTGATGTCGAAGGCCCCACCAGGAGCTGTGTGACCTGATAGTCAGAAGGCGTGGCCGTTGTCTTCAAGTTGAGGGCGGCGGTATTGAGGTATGAGTGCCCTTCGGGGATTCCCATTGGTTGCCCCTGCGTCGACGGCAGCCTTCTACTTCTTGGAAGGACCCTCCGCTTTCTGCTTCCTCTTCTTCTTCTTCCCCGCGGCTACCCGGAGGGGCTCGGCATCAATCAGTCGGAGGCAGAAAAGCAACCGTCACTTGCTGCCTCTCTTTTTCCTCTTCCTCCTCCGCTACTTGGAGTGCAAGAGCCATTTCCTCATCTTCGGCTACCTGCTCGAAGTCCTCGGCCTCCGCTTCAGTCCGGAGCCTGTCCTGGACCTCTTCGGCTACGGCGGAATCATTGTGCGTGGCCAATGACATCAATCATGACACCAGACCAACGACTCCCAGTAGACCCACAATCCCAAAAGCCCAACGGCCCCCTCACATCATGTCCAGACATAGAATAGTCCACCCTAAAAAGAGCGAGACTAATCGCTGAGACGGTGAGAGCTATGAGGCTATTAACGGCTTCTGATTGCCTCCATCAACATAATTCCTACTCAAAGGAAAAACACCCACTACTCCCACTCCCTTATTGTAAGTAAAAATAACAAAACAACAAGCAACTGAGTTCGGAAAAATAGAAATAAAACAGCAATAGTAAAGGTTCACGTGATGGAGTTTGAAAACTTCCATCCCTTGTGTAGCTCCCGACGCATCTTCTAGATGCCTGACAGACGGGCATTGAAGCCCGCCCCCTTCTCGTTTTTTGGTGAGCCCGTCTCCATGTCCATATCCTTTTGTGCAATCTTCTGAGTCTCGTGATCTACCCGTCTACGCTTTTGATCCACTTTAACTCCATTATAAACAAGGTCCAATCCCTGCTGTTGTTTTCCCTCTGCATTCGAGCTTGCCATCCCTGTTCCCCTCCTCTTCTTTTCCTTTACCTTTGCCAATTGGGACTAGCCACTTGTTGCCTCCCACAACTGTATTTCCTTTTGAAGCTCTCAACTCAGGTCCATAAGGGAATCCCCCACTTTTGCCTTTACCATCAGGGTAACGCGGGCAAAAACGTTCTGTTGGTCCCGGTTAATGTGGTAACAGTCTAGAGGGGTGGGGGGGGGGGTGGGAGGGGGTGAATAGACTGTTATGGTTTTTAACTTTTTCAAGCTAAGTACCAAGGTTAACAGAGTAGCCTGTTCTGTTGAGAACAGACTGGCAGCGGAGGTCTTTTGGTAGGTGTTTTGTCGGGATAGCCTCACAGAGGGGCAAAGGCACTTGGCCTTCTGTTAACTCACAAGAAGTGTTCTGCTGAACACAGATACCACTTCTTTGGAGTTAATCAGTTTAAGTAAATGCAAGTATTAAAGGCAGTAAGTAAAAGACATCAGGGATTTTTATAGTGGTTCAAGGAACAACACGTTCCTCTAATCCACTGTTCCACTAAGCTTGTAAAACAACGGTTACAATGCCTTAGTCCCTAGAACTTAAGAAGCTCTCCACGTCTTCTTCAAGTCTAGATGTCTTCTGGGATGCACTTCCTTGCTTCCTTTAAGACTGGTCCTTTCACTGAGCTTCCCGGAAGTATACCCACTTCGCTACTCTAGTTACTTGGACGCCCTTCTTTGCAGAAGATGTTCTGTAAAGAACAGAGTTTTTCTCCAACTTGCTTCGTCACAAAAGATGTGTTAAAGAAGTGCTTGAAGTGTTGAAGAACTGTTGGAACTTTGCTCTTGTTGGAAGAAAGGATAAGGGAATGATATCTTTCCAACGTGGGCTTTTTCTTGATTGAAGATGGAGGAGTTTTAATCTCAAGAAGATGTAAGTAAGAGTTGTAGCAAAATTATCCAGTTGTTCTTCATCGAGTATCTTTTATACTGGAATTGTCTTCCCGTTGGAAGAGGAGACAACTGCATTAAATGCGCATACTGTGGAGTTGACCGGTTGGACCCGCAAGGTTGGCAGGTTTCTATTTTTGTATAATATCCTCCAAGAATCACGGTCAATCATCTGCAATTACTCCACAGCGTATCAGGCTCATTAAATGAGCATTAAATGCTTTCCTTTTATTTTCCATGGAAAGTCATCTAGCCGTTGAGGGAATCTTCCATTGAATTTACCGGCATAGTAAGATTCAGTAATTCTCTAAGTGTTAGGCCTTCTGGTGTCCTTAACCGAAGAGCAATGAGGAGAAGGTCTCGAACACTTCTGCTGGAATAAGCTATCAAAGGGGTAGATCACAGAGGGCCTCGAGATCTTCTGTTCAGAATACCATGAGCACTTCTGAGGGGTAACCAGCTAACAGAGGGCCTGAAGGTCTTCTGAATGTCGACTATTCTAAAATACTTACACTTAGAAAAATTCTAATACATCAATTCTAAAAAGGGGGTACTCTAATGTTCTAATTAATCTAGCATCATCAAAATCTAAATACATTTATTCCTTACACGTTCTGCATGACAAATGACTCCACAAGCAAAGCAAAAACTAGGTAGTTTTTCATACCTGAACTTAACATAGAAACTTTCCTCTTCGTCAAATTGAAGAATAAGTTTCCTCTTCAAAGGACTATTCAAGTCAATATTAACCCTAATCCTCATATATGGGTTCCATTCAACAGAGAAGTTCTGCTCATCCACCTTAACAAAATTCCCTACCAAATTCCCAATTTTAGTAGCATTTTCCACAGAAAAGAAACCCATTGGCACATCATGAACCTGTAACCAGAAGTCAACCCTATTTAACAGTACCTTCAGCGGCAAATCACCTTGCTTTAACTAAGCAAGCACAATAAGATTTTGATTGAAGGTCCAGGGCCCTTCCTCCATAACACGGGTCATATCATTTTCATTGTAAAATTGGAACATGTACCTTCGTTCACCTATCTCAGTAATGGTCACGCCCCTAACAGGCTTCCAAACATTGGCTATAGTGTCATGAAAATAAGAGAAACGTACCGACTTTTCGGAAGTGATTGTTCCAACCAAAGTCATCCCTATCTCCTCAAGCCCTGGAGCTTTAGCCACCACATGTAGCACTTCACCCTCCTCCTCCATCTCCAATCTTTCGTACTCTTTCGTCAGCCTATTGATCTCCTTTAAATTATTGACATCAGCCATGGTACACTGCCTCTCTTTCACTAAATCCGTGAGAGAAGTAAACCGAAGCAGGCCACCTAGTGTGCGAAGCCAAGCAATCCACCAAGCACGCGTACCAAATCTATCCCCCAGCGAACACCCCTGTAACACCCCATCACCTTCGAACAAGAAAACCGTGAAGAAGATAAAACCTATCCCTAGCGATTGCCTAGAAATCGCACGCTATTGATAGCGGCGATCCCCAAAAGCTGTGGCCAAAAGAAGAAAACGTCGAGTGATTCAGTTCGTCGCCGACCCCTGATTGCGCAGACCCTAGCTGCGGCAAATCTTTATTCTCCTAATATAGACAATGTTAGCATATGTGTTGATCTTCTTACACACACACACACACACGAATGTTCCTGTCCGGCCAGGCTGGACAGGCCCCTGGTCCGGCCACCTCAATTTGAGGTGATTCCCGGTAGTATTTTTTTCCCAATTTTTTTGTGTATGTTTCTAATCAAGTTTAGTTCATCCATACCAAATTTGAGCAAAAAAATCAATCGGGAAGGCCGTCTAATGATTTTTGCAAGTTAACTACGTTTTATATGTATATTCCGGACCAGTTAACTTGAAAAAATCATTTGACAATCTTCCCGGTTGAATTGTTTGCTCAAATTTGGTATGGACGAACTAGACTTCATGAGGAACATACACAAAAAATTTGGACAAAAACTACCCCCGGGAACCACCTCAAATTGAGGTTGCCGAGCCAGGGGCCTGTCCGGACTGGCCGGACAGGAAGAGCTCTCTCTCTCTCTCTCTCTCTCTCTCTCTCTCTCTATATATATATATATATATATATATATATATATATAACTTAATATATTTTAAGTTTGTATGTGATCCTAAATCTATATGTGTATATATATATATATATATAAATTAATATATTTTAAGTTTAATTTGTGGAATTTAGTTGAAACTTGTTTAAGCTTAAGGTATTTGAAATGTTTTTCCTATATATGGAGCATTAAATTTCAAACACAAAGTTAATTTGTTAAAATACTTTTAATAATGTCACAATTGCAGCAAAAACATAAATTGGAGGCTTAATAGGCATATAAAAATACTACTTCTCCCTCATTAAAATTTTGTCAAGTTTGACTAATACGGGGATTATTACAGTAAAAATGTTGTAGTTGAGCTTTGTGCAGAAGACATAGAATAAATTGTAGCCACAAAGTTTTTTTCTAAAAAGGGAGAATTGACAAAATTAAAGGGACAACTAAAAAGTAAAAGTTGACACATTTTAAGGAACAGAAAGAGTATGAATTAGAAGCGTCTGATCTTAATTTAAAAGACTGTATTTCATATACGTACCAAAATTAGACCCACATAACAAATCTATTTATATATAAGAAAAGAATAGGCTGTTTAAAATACAATTTTGCCCTCTAAAATCCAACGTGTATTCCTCACCTTAATTCACGGTTGCACTTTCGTGCATCCACGTGTCTTCCTTTTTTTTCGAGAGAAAAAAAAAACAGCGATCGATGAAGCCCGAGAAGAAGCCCCCCAAATCCTGAGCTCTTTCTTTCTTCTCCGAAAAATTCTGTACAAATCGGCTTACATTGAGAGATATCGCAAGAGATTGCCATGTTCAACACATCTCCCATTTACTCCCTCTTCATCCTCTAATAAAACAGGTACGCTGCCTTTTCCGCTCTTTGCATCATCTTTCTAAGCGTTTTAAATTATTTTTGCGCCTGCTATTGAATCAATTGAGGAACACAAATCTCTTCAGAAAAGTCACTATGGATTTGTATGGAGTAAAAGCTTAATTAACAGTTCAACCATACTCCTGTTAAAGCCACGTTGTATTCTTCTAGAAAGGATAATCTGAGAGGTCCTGATATTTTCTGATGAATATATTTCTCCATTTTAACATGACTTTTAGGTGCACCAAATAATATAAGTTAAATCATATAAAGTGTTCGATGAAATGTTTAGGCACCGTATTTTAAGTGAAGTGCTGATGAATGATTCAAATTTAAAAGCAAATATTACAACAACAGAAATCTAAAGCAACAAAAGCATGATAAAAGCAAAGTCTTATACTTAGCAATGAAATTACGAACTACTGATTTGGATATCTATGTATGAATTTCTAAATTACTACATTGTGCTTAGTATCATGAAGTACTAAATTGTGGCTCAATTGCTTTCATTAAAAAAATGACTGAACTACTTTACCGGATATCTATGTAGTATTATGACGTACTAATTTGTTGCGCTTCTGCTTTCATTCATAAATGTTTGTTGTTTCGTATCTTAGGTCTATGTATATTCTTATAACAATTCTCACTTATTAAATTTTATGACAAAGCCCACATAAATTTTTATTAATATATGATCTTCTATATTAAGAGCAAAACAATTTTAGTAGTCTTAAATCTCAATCTTACAGATCAATCACCAGACCTTAGAAGTTAGTATTTTAATAGATATTCCACTCTATCCACCGAAACGGTAGTTTTTTTACTTCTTGGACTAATGGGAGCCTTTGAGCTCTATACATAGAGACCTTATAATTAGTCATACCATCGCATAAGCTGTAAATTTCCTCAATCTCCATATCATATTTTGATTTCAATTGTCAGTGATTCCCTAAATATCATAAATGAAACTGGTTTGTTGTTACTTAAATCATTACTTGATTGTTTGCTTGCTATATGATTCTATGATATCTTATTCTTATCATATGGATAGATAATGACCATATCCTCCACAGAACATTTAGTTGCAACTTATTTGCTTTGAAGTATAACTTAATAACTCAAAGAAAGCATTAAAAAGAAAGCAGGGAAAAAAATTGGATAGTTTTTTCCTTTTGTTTTCAATTCGCCCTCAATATTGTTCTTTTACTTCAGAACCATGTAAAAAAGAAAAGCAGTCATTCAAATCCAAATACGAGTATCATGGCCACTTCCCAAATAAACTTCATGGGAAAATACATGTCTACAATAGTACAATAACTCATTTGCTTAACTGTCGTTATTGGAAAAGGTACTGCTATATACAAATTATGGAATACGTGAAGTGCTCACTTACAAGTGAAGTCGGTATAGAAATGACGTAAAATGAATAATTAAAATGACTGAACATCTTTATTTGGCTAAAAGGTCAAACACGCAGTTATAGCAAAATGGGCTTTATCTTTGCGATGGACTATTACTTTGAGATAACCAAACTGTATGTTTTTTTAGTATTTTTGTCATCTTCAGCCAGTGAGCTTATGGTCAGTACAACGGTGCCTTATCGTTTATACTTAACTTCTGTCTCACGCAAATATTTATGTATGATGTGAATGTGAATTTTAATTTTGTTGTTCATATTTTTCAATTTCAATTATGTGAAAAACTAATATGAATATTACTCCGTATAATTTATCGTATCTAATCTAATTTTAATTTCCAGTAGGTTTATCCTTGAGTTTGCGTCTGTACACTATCCCAACTTTCTGGATGAGCAGGTAATTTTAAAATTTAGATTCAAATGTCTCTTTGTTTAATTTTTTTCTCCATTCATTGCAGCATTTCCTTTAGATTTGTGTATCCGCTTTCTAGGCGGGAAGCACTATGGTGTTGTTATATGTTCTTCTAGGTATGGAACAAAATGCTGAAGACAGTTCTAATGTATTATTAAAACAGCCTAGCTTGAAAGGTTAGAGATTTATTAACTTTCATTAGGTCGTGTCTTTAGATGTTAATCATGGTATTTCATCGTGTCATCTGATGTGTGAAGTCCTGCTATATATCTTGCTGTTAGTCCTTAATGAACAACACAAAAAATGAGCCTTTTGAAATACTCAAATTTCATGCAAGACTGAGAATAAGAAAAGAAAACCTGAAGTCCAACAAATCACCCTCAATTATTTCATAGAAAATAGTAAGTATTCCTAATATGTCTGTCATAACTCATAAGTATCATTGAACGGTTAGGTGTTTCTAAAAAGAAAACTTCTGCCAGACTAGACTACACATTTTGGCACATGATTTCAATCGGTAGGGATTCCCTAAATATTACAGAGTATAAATTAAACTGGCCTGTTGTTACTCATAGCATTACTTAATGCAACAAACTAGCGTAATTATTTTACCTTGAGATGGAGTACATGAGAGAGAGCCAATCACATTAAACCACAAAGGATTTCCAGGCTGAGTATTCTTACCTTCTGCTCTAAATTTCACTTGATGGTTTTTCCTATTCAAATATCTAATCTTCCGTGAAGAACAAATACTATAATAGAAGTGTGGGCATATTAAAAAAAACCACTCTTCCGTGTTTGGTTTTTGAACTTTGACTTCTATGCTCAAAGTTAGGGATGGATCTGGTGCGATCATCCCCGGGGGTGGGGTGAACCAAGACCAGCCCCGATTATTCCGGTTCCAGGCACCGGCCATCCTGGGCCCGCTCCTATACTTTAAAAAAAATCATTCTACATTTTCAAACCCTCTGAACCACTCCCTACTCTTTTTAGCTTTTAAATGAAGTAGAATATTGGGGCTTGGAGACCTTTGATTTCAGGGAATTGGTATTGCAATAGGAAAGCTGGATCTCTATGTGGAAGCAGTTGGGATCAACATTCAGAGAGTATCTTTCTGCTATAGTTTCTCTTCTGTCATGTATTTTGCTTACATAGGGGGGAAAGAATTCCCAACATGCAATGTGATGTTGAAAAGTTGAATTTATATGTATATAGAGTGCGGTTCGAATGAAAAGGGTGCTTAAACTCTTGAAAAATATGAAAATGCTTTCTAGCTTCCACAGTAGATTAACTATAAGCTTTCTTCTTTAAAAAGTACGAAGTACTAAATTTTATTCCATTTTGTTCTGAAGGTTTAATGCCGACATAGCTTGGAGTCCCTCCTTTGGAGATTTTTAATCTCATTGCTCAATCCTGATCTGTCTCTGCTCTTCACTCCAAAGAAAACTTTCGTCTACAATCCTGCACTTTATCCACTGTTTTTGTTATCTGGACTTTGTCCAGCACCTTATGTTCAAAAAATTTAGTACTCTATCATTTATGTGTTATTGGAGGCTTTCAAAATGCAGCCTATCTGGAAACGGTTGACCATATCCTATGATGAGATTTGTATTGAATTAAAACTCGGGAACTTGACTAAAAACATGAACATCAAGTGTTGCCCAAAAATGGGGATCATGGTTTTTGTTTCTTTTATGCTATTCTGTTTAATTTATCCTCAATGTTGAGTTTTTTACTTAAAAGCTATTATTTGATTGATCTAACATATTACTATGTCCGTTTTTAAATTGGTTCTTTAATTTGAGTAAGTGACAAATAAACTCTTCAAAAGTTTTATGATTTTGACAAGAAAAATGCAGATCTGGCACTTCTTATTGTAAACATTCCTCCTGATACATAAAAAATCATCACTTTCTCGCTCAAACAAATAAATACCTACAAAGTACAATTTCCTATGATCTAAAAACCACAATCATGGTCCTTCATTTGGGCTCATCGTGATCGTTGTAGCACTTAATTAAATTTACCCAAATCCTTTGTGTACTTCATAATTCATGATTACATAGTTTGTTTTTTTATTCAATTCATTGAGGCCTTCTATTCTTATCAAGTACATAAGTGCATCAGTGCATGAGTTCTCATGGGAAAAGCTTATGAGTGTAAAATTGGTGGACTGCTCTTTTAGATGTTACAAACAATTTTCTAAAAGAGTTGAACATAGTCAATTAAGGGGTTTAATTCAGATTTATTTTTATCCTTTAATTCCTTTTAATTTACCATCTCTGTTTCTTGAAAATATTAAATTAACAATTTTTAGACTTCTAAATTTTGAATTTAAGATTCTCAATTTTCAAAGTAGGTTATTCATCAATTCTCTTAAGTTTATTAAATGGCTTTTCAAAGTAGGTTATTCAATCTTTTGAATCTTTGTTTATTATCATTTGACATGGTTTACATTACATATAATTCGTGATGTTCATATTTTTCACTATCGCTTTCAATATATTTAATCGATGGTTTAGTTCTTATTTATAAAGTAATGTTTAATGAGATAATCTTGATTTTTATTTTAAAAATTGCAAGGCTCGGTATATATATAGACAAAAGAATAAAATTGCAAGGCTCGATATATATATACAAAAGAATTAGTTTGCAACAAATTAATGAGATAATCTTGATTTTTATTTTAAAAATTGAAAGGCTCGGTATATATATAGACAAAAGAATAAAATTGCAAGGCTCGATATATATATATATACAAAAGAATTAATTTGCAACAAATTAAAATTTACAAAACAATAACGACCCGTGCGAATGCACGGGTACTATACTAGTGAAAATAAAATCATATTGTAGAGTTTTTATTCCGTCTCGAGCTCAAGTCTTCAACCTATCTCAATGGCTCACATGACACACACACACCTCTTGGCTAGACTACTCCACTACTCACCATGTTTACTCTCTCCACAAAGATACCTCTCGCACAAAGGAAGTGAACAATGGAACCTCTCGCACAAAGGAAGGCAAGGAGGAAACTCTCTGTCTCACTCTTTGTTTCTCTTGCCTCACACGCAATACAGAAAGTAACGCGGGCAACATGGACAAAGAGGGTACAGACTCCAACAGACAAATTAGGGGGCCAAATCGGTGAGTAAACAGACAAGTAATTGGTCAAGGAAAAATAATCACGGGTGCAAGAAAAGTAGGAATAAACATATGACACAAGCTTAATAAATAAAGTGGAATGAAGGCTTTGATAGGACCAATACCTCCAACTTAACACATATCACATAAAATAAAAAATCACAAAGTTCAACAAAAAAAAGTACGTTATTAAACCATGGTTGGATAGGAAGGCATCATGGCGAGTCCACAAAGTCCCTCCCGAGCCTTAATGCCTCTTTTCATTCTAAGAAAACCTTTTTCACCCCATTTACTTCCCCATGAATTCTTCACGAGCCAATACTTCGTGCCTTGCTTCGTTTTCCCGTACCCAACGATCGCCACACCGTGATCAAGCTCGGTCCCGCAGTGACCAGAGAGGACGCCTCTTTGGTAGAATTGGAACGCCCGGCCGCCTGCCTCAACCCCAACGGACACCGGTTGGTTAGCCACGGCCTTTAGCAATGCCACTTCGTTGTTAGCCGGGACGCGTTCGTAGCCCGCGATCTTGGCCGCAATGCGGGATTTCTTGAGCTTATTACAGGTCCCGTTTTTTGCTATATATGGGTAGTTGTGAGTGTCGGTGAGACCCTTGTTCTTGATGATGTACTCGAAAGCTCCGTCCATCAATCCTCCGCCGCAGCCCTGAGTGGCCTCACCTTTGCTGCAACTAATTAGTTCTTGTTCAGAGAGTGATCTTAGCTTACCCGTTGAGATTTTCTGTATGCCCTCTACAGCCGCCACCGCGGAAAATGCCCAACAGCCCCCTGTAATAGATATGTAGTATAATTAACTAAAGAAACTTTCTTCACTAAAACTGTTAAAAATGCAAAAAGTATTGCCACCATCTCAGCGGGACTGCCGCCACAACTATAGCTACGGAATTAGGGGACACTTAATTAATCATATACTTCGTATTAAAAGTAAAATTAATTGTATTATAGTAGAAATATAATGTTTAGTTTTATTTTGAAAATATAAAACATGGACTTCTATTTAAGGAATAGATCAGAACTATGTAATTAACTTTAATTAATACTTTCTCCATTCATAAATAAGTGTAATGATCAACTTTTCAAATTTGCGGGTACACAACGCTGACTTAATGGTCAAAGTTTTGTGTTGTCAAAAGAGAATTTCAAAGTGATGCGCCGATTTAGTAACCCATACTTTCTGCTTTTGAGCTTTATCCATGATTTTACATTGCGATTACTAGTGCGGATAATATATAACACGGTTGTTGCAATGAGTATTGTTGTTGCGGCGTGAAATATTTTCAAATTCCCACTAAATAAGAATATAATGGGTTTTTTTGTATTCTTTAATTACTAATCTTCTATTAATAATGTTTAACATAATTTTTTTTATTTGAGCTAATGTTTGATAAAATTAGTAAATGTATTATGAATACTTATTTAAACTGCATTTTTATGTAAACAACGAATCAATCAATAAGAATATGTCAACTAATATTGAATAGTGAGTAAAAAGATCTCAAAACTATATAATTATTATAAATACAATTTTAAAAAACTATAAATTAAACAGATCAAAAAAGTAAACAGTTATTACAGACATACTTAAATCAATTGGCATGATACTAAGTCTAAATATGTGACATTGTCACTACCTAAAAAAAAAATATTTACAAAAATTTGACTAAAGTTACTATGAGAACTTATGTTTAAAAATTGAACACATTTTAAAAAAAGTTAATATTATTATCACTATACTTAAAAAGGTCACATTCTCTAAAAAAACCTTTATCTAAATCATAAATTTGTAAATATACAACAATTTTGTTCAATTTTCATATTTTAAATAATACTCCGTATCATGTTAAAAATATCCTGAGTTAAATTTGAACATCATTCAACAACAAAAGTCAACAATGCGAAGTTTTATATAGGACAGAGTAAACTTTTGACTATTTTACATCTTTATTAATGTAGGAGTAACGACGCAACTTCTACGTTGGTAAAGTAAATAGCGTAAAAATTTAGATACGCGTAAAAACGTGTCCCACTATGTTTGGGATAAGAGGGTGTGACACAACATTAGAAAATAGGATTGTGTGCTTGATATTGAATTGATAAAGTGTGAATAAAGTAAGAATGAATTATAATCACCCAAATATAATCAAATATGATATGTGACAAACTTAATGGGACGGACGAAAAAGGTAAAACGGTACAAACTTAGAGAAACAAAAGGATTAACATTTAAAAATAGCTAAAATTAGTGTTGCAATGTCGTTGCGGCCTTGTTGTAATTTCGTGACAGTTATATTTCAAATACCACCCCCATTTCAAAATTTTACTACCATTGCAACTGGATGCGATTGTGGTGTGGCCTACAACCGCAATAATCAATGGACTTAACTTATAAACCATTTTTTTACATAGATAATTAGATATGAACATTTTCGCATTTATTTCATACTCTGTCTCATAAAATAAAATTCTTCCAACTTATCTTTTTGGGATGTTTTAAATAATTCTTCTCATTTTTCTTTTTAAAATTTTTGTCTGGATAACCTTCATTTACATTTATCTTACTCAACCATAACCACACATTTATACTTTATTCCCATTTTTTTAAATTTCGATTCAAGTCAAATCAATAATAATTTTATGGGAAGGAGAGTATATTTTTTCATCGTATTGAGAATAAGATAGGTGGGTACAATACTTAATGAGTTATTGCCCTTAATCGGACCAAATTGTTGTTGAAACTCCCAAACAGGAGTAGGTGTATTTTTATTCCCTAAATAAGACGTTTCTTCCAAAATTACCTTTCTTCTAATTTTCTCAATCACGCATAGAAGCCCATTGCTCATCTTCTTCTTCGCTCACCTCTTCTCTGGTCTGTTCACCATCTTTTTCGATCTACTATCATCTTTAATTTCATTCTTTTGATCCGCTCATCATCTCTTCGGATTGTGAGCTTTGAGCGGTGAACATCGAGCGGTGAGCGGCGACAATACATCCACTCATCATCTCCGGTTGCAAGCCCGCAACGACGAGCTAGCTCTGAGGTGCAAGTAGTAGCCACGGCGATACATGTGCTCAACCTTCTCCTCCTCTTCTCTAGTTTTTTTCTCCCACCTCTTCTATTTCATTGTAGGTGCTAGTTGAAAATTTTAAGATTTCTTTGTTTGTTAAAAATGCCAAGTTTTACTCTGAAAATGTCATCAAAATGACTTTTTTACTCTTCATGAATTCGGTATTTTCCTTTGAAAATGCCATTAAGATGGAATTCTCGATTCATTTGGTACTCCCAAACAGGAGTAGGTGCAAATATTTACTCAGTACTAGGTTTTGCCGAGCTTCAAGGGCATTTCTGTCTAACAACAAATAATAACTCCTATTTGGGAAAATTTTAAACATTACTCATATTTTAGCAATTAATAATTATATTAAGGCAAGGAAAATTGTCCTAAATAGAACTAAAAACGTCTTTGTATTTCAAAATAAAATTATTATATTTTTTTTCTAAATAGATGTCACTGCTGTCATGTTTTGACAATAGCAAACTTTAAATTTGATAATATTTTTCAAGTTTGGTAGTAATTACTAATATTAATTAATCCGAAAAAGATGGAATATAGCTTAACATAATAACGCAGGGCGTACCGCATTTGCCTTGATCCTTGACGCTTGTAACAGCTCCTTTCCTCTTCCAGCTGAGACCCCGCGGAATCAAAGTGACATTTCTGTATCTAAAGGTTTTGTGGAGATCACCATCAGCATTCATAAGACTGTGACTAAGAAGACTACTTTTGTATCCATTGGTTCTAAGGGCTCGGAATTCTTCATTAGTTAAATCAGCAAAGCGATTGACGCCCAGCTTGAAAGTCCGGTTCTTGACCTCGTTGAAGGCCTGAATGAACTCCAGGTTCTCTTTGAATACTCCGAACCGGAGCTCCTTCTCCTCCTGGGTTTCATACACCCGCCCGTGCTCATTCATCCATTCCTCGTGTAGCTTCTGGGCTTCTAGCAGCGGCGGCGGGGCTGCGGCGGCTAGACAAGTAGTGATCGTCCCAACTATGGCGCAAAAGATGAGTACACAACTAAATTTCACTGCGCCCATTATATTAATTAGTAGAGTGATCTGGTTTTGTGAGTGACAAGAGGTATATTTATAAAAAAGATGACCCCGACTCCAAAGTCTACAAATTAAAAGCTTTTATTATAGTCTAGAAAGGGAAAAAAACTCTAATAACAATAGGATCCAATCATCTTTTTAGAAAAACATACTACGTACATAGTAGGAAAATACAAGTGGATGTTAACTTGCACCATTTTAGGAAATTAAAAATATAAATAGTCATATTCTAAGAAAACATGTGAATTTTAATTTAGTTATATTAGTGGTAATTACGGAGTAGCTCATAAAAAATCATGTAAAATGGATCTGTTGGTATTGGCCCAGCATTTCCCTAAGCCCAATTCTCTCTTGGCATACCCGGTCCATGGTCCAATTGGGTTTTGTTTTCGTTGAGCACCGCCTTCCTTAGCTGTGCGAATCAATCGGCTCCCTCTATACCCGATTCTTTCCTTTGGTCTTCGCGGTACTCTGCATATCTCTTCCTAAGGTAAGTTTCCTTCTATGAGTAGTGTGCCTGGCCTATTTATATCGTTCCTCTTCTGCCTTTGAATGTCTTGGCCGAAAACCCTTGCTTCTCTCATTTCGCCTCTCTGTGGGTGCTCGAAAGAATTGGCCGGAATTAGCTAGTTGGCTGACGCCCCTCTTTCCCCTTAGTGACTTAGTGGTGTTCTTCATCCTTTGTGGTTGAAATCTGAACGAGACCTGAGCTGGATAGTGTCATAACAGTGGTATCAGAGACTTTGGAGGTCTGCCGCCGCCACGCCGCCGTCTGCCGCCGTCTGCCGCCGCCGTACGCCGTCGCCGGAGGTCCTGCAGTGTTGCCGCCGTCAGCCCGAGTGTTCCAGCGTCGTCCAGAAGGTTCTAGTCCTTCTGCCAGGAGCCTCGTGGCTGTCCAGTTGCTGCCATCTGCCGGAGGTGCTGCCCAGACCAGTCTGCCGGAGGTGCTGTCCAGAACGCTGCCGCCGCCCAGGAGTGCCGCTGCCGCCTTCCAGTCCGCTGCCGCCGAGTCTACAGCAGCCCACGCTGCCTACGGTAAGTCGGGTAACCCAACCTCGGGCCCCGCTCAGGTAAATTGGCGATAAACATCCTTGGTGTACCGGAGTGCCACCAGATTTATTTTTTCCCCCCGTTCCCCGCTGCCCGCTGCTGACCTACGTGGTCTTGGATGCCGGCTGTGCCCGACCCCAGGTACGTTTACTAATCCTTTGTGTGGTTTTTTATTCGTAGTTCATTCATTTTAATTTCAAGTTAAATTGCAATTACTTGTTTGTTTGAATTGTGATTACTTGTTGGTTTGTGATTAATTTTTTCCGGTGAAGAATATTTTGTTTGGATACTCATTGTCCAAAGTTGTGAATATTTCTTCCGGTTTAAATTTAATCGCGTGTTGGATTTTTGATTTTGTTTTTCTGTTGTTTGATTCGTGGATAAACTCTCCGGTTAAGAATATTTGTTTGGATACTTGTTGTCCGAAGTTGGGAATATTTCTGTCCGGATTAGTTTTAAATCCAGTTTTTTTGCTTGTTGATTTAATTCTAGCCTATTTGTGCTTGTACGAAAGAACAAGGAGATTGTACCCCGAACTTTGTGTTCATTGGTCTTCTCGGCTTGTTCGTGCTAGTTGCTTCGTACAATTGATAGCCCTATAGGTTATAATTGATCATTTATCTGTCTGTTGAGTAAATAAAATTTTATCTTGCTCGTACGAAAGAACAAGGAGATTGTACCCGAGCCTTGTGTTCATTGGTCTTCTCGGCTTGTTCGTGCTAGTTGCTTCGTACGGTACGAAAGAACAAGGAGATTGTACCCGAGCTTTGTGTTCATTGGTCGTCTCGGCTTGTTCGTGCTAGTTGCTTCGTACTATTCTTTGCTTGATAATTTTTTATTTACTCTCTTGCGTGTTGTGCTTGCTTTCCGGTTAATATGGCTGTCAATCAATATGGCATGCTTCCATTTAACGGAAAGGCAGATTTTGATATCTGGAAACAGAAAATCAAATGCGTGTTGATTCAACAGAAAGTCTATAGAGCAGTGACTGGTCTCTATTTAGACTCTGAGGATGCTGCTAAGCGCGATGAAATGAATGAAACTGCTTGTTCCTCTATATACCTGAACCTTTCTGATTCAGTACTCAGGAAGGTGGGTATTATAGATTCTGCAAAGGCTTTGTGGGACAAGTTAGATCAGACGTATACCGATACTTCTTTGCCTGGTAAATTGTTTTTGCTTGAGAAGTTCTTTAGATTTAGGCTTGACCTGTCTAAGGACATAGATGAGAACCTAGATGCGTTTAACAAGCTTATTCAGAATATTAAGCAAGCCGGTGATAAACACATAGATGACTACACACCCATAGTGTTACTTAATGCCATCCCTGACTCATACAATGACGTCAAATCTGCCATAAAGTATGGTAGAGATGATATCTCGTTGGATGTAGTCATTAATGGATTAAGGAGTAAGGAGTTAGACCTTAGACACTCGAGGGGTAGTAACAGCCAGTTTAGGGACTCAGGTGAAGCGTTGTTTGTGAGGGGTAGGTCTAAGAGTAGATCTAGAAACCATAAGAAGGGCAACAACGATAAGAACAAAAACAATGACCCGGGGAAGAAGAGAGGTAAGTCTAAGAAGAGAGTGTGCTATAATTGTGGTAATTCTAGTCACTTCATTAAGGATTGTCCCCATCCGAAGAAGTCTGAACATGCTAATGTGGTAGATGATAATAACTTGCATGAAGAAGTTTTTATGATTTGTGATTCTGCCAATTCTGTGTTGAGTAGCATGACTGAAAATGAGTGGTTGATTGACTCTGGTTGTACTTATCATATGACACCTTTTAGATCCCTGTTTTCTTCTTATGATTCTTGCAATGATGGTTTTGTGTCTCTTGCTGATAATAAGAAATGCAAAATTCATGGGGTGGGTGATGTATGTTTGAAGTTTGATAATGGGACTGTGTTTACTATGAAAAATGTGAGGCATGTTCCTGATTTGCGTCATAACTTGTTTTCTGTTGTGCTTTTGAGGGTAGTGGGTTAGAGGGTAAATGAGGTAATGGGTGCATGAAAGTTTTGAAAAATTCCCTTGTTTTGTTTAAGGCAAAAAAGGTGAATAACTTGTATGTGTGTCATGCTCAGCCTTTCTGTGATTCTGCTCATGTTGTTAGTTCTGATAAATCTGCTTTGTGGCATAATAGATTAGGACACATGAGTAATAGGGGTTTAGAGATTTTGCATAAATCTGGTTATTTTGGTAAGGATTCTGTGTCCCCCATCCCCTTCTGTGAATCTTGTGTGTTAGGCAAGCAGCATAAGGTTACATTCCCCTCCTCCCCATATCCTAATCCCACTAAGTGTACCTCTGTGTTAGAGTATGTTCATGCTGATGTGTGGGGTCCTGCTAGTGTCTCTACCCACGGGGGTAAGAGATATTTTCTGTCCATCATTGATGATTTTTCTAGGAAGGTGTGGATCCGTCTCCTTGAGTTGAGCATAAGTCCGATGTCTTTGTGAAGTTTAGGGAGTGGAAAAACCTTGTAGAAAATCAAACTGGTAAGAAGGTCAAAACCCTTAGGACAGATAATGGTCTAGAGTTTTGCAATAAGGATATGGACCAACTGTGTGTTGATTGTGGGATTAGAAGGCACAAAACTGTGCCCTATACTCCCCAACAAAATGGGATAGCCGAGAGGATGAATAAGACTGTTCTAGATAAGGTTAGGAGTATGCTTGCTACCGCCGGTTTGTCTAAAAAGTTTTGGGGTGAAGCAGTCAATACTGCTGTCTACTTGATTAACCAGTCTCCTTCTGTTCCCTTGGGTGGGAAGTGCCCTGAATCTGTTTTTTCAAACAAACCCCTTGATTTGTCTAATCTTAGAGTGTTTGGGTGTGCAGCGTATGTGCACCAACAAGGTGACAAGTTGGATCCTAGGTCTAAGAAAGGAGTCTTCCTAGGTTATCCCGAGGGTGTGAAGGGGTATAGGGTTTGGGATAGGAACCAGGTAGGTTTCAAAGTTGTGGTGAGTAGAAACGTTGTTTTCAATGAATCCGAGTTTCCTTGTCTGGTTAAGTCAGTTCCTGATTCTGAGTCTGATCCTAGTAGTACACCCGTTGAGGTGGAGTCCATACCACGTGCTGCTAGCCCTTTGTTTGCTAATCATGATAATGTTGTTTTGCATGATTCTAATTCTTCTGAATTGCATGATTCTGATTCTTCTGAGCATGATACTACCACCACTTCGAGCGAGGTGGAGCATTCTCATGTGAATTCAAATGACAATGAATCGCATGATGAGAGTGCGGATGCTAGTGAGAATGATTTGCATGATTATCAACTTGCTAGAGATAGAAGTAGGAGTGTAATTAGGAGAACTGCTGATAGTATGCCTGATTATGCTTTCCATATGTGTGATACTTCTATGTTTGCTTTCTCTGTGTTTGAGACCCTTGAGCTTAACGAACCTAGAACCTATAGAGAGGCCCTTAAGTCTAATGAGTCCGCTAAATGGCTTTGTGCCATGGAAAGTGAGATGGAGTCACTTAGAGCGAATAAGACTTGGACGTTAGTTCCTAGACCGCCCAATAGTTCCGTTGTTGCCTGTAAGTGGCTATTTAAGGTTAAGGAAGAGCCTAACGACATTAGATATAAGGCTAGGTTAGTAGCTAAGGGATTTACTCAAAAGGAAGGTGTTGATTATGCTGAAATCTTTGCTCCTGTAGTTAAATTTACTACAATTCGTATGATGCTTGCTCTTGTTGCTCATAATGATTGGGAAATGAAGCAAATGGACGTCACCACTGCGTTCTTGCATGGTGATTTAGACTAGAAAATCTATATGTCCCAGCCTGAGGGCTTTGTGGATCCCATGAAGAGCGATCATGTGTGTTTGCTTAGGAAGGCCTTGTACGGCCTGAAGCAGTCCCCGAGGCAGTGGAATATCAAATTTGACCAGTGCATGTCATCTTTGAAATTTCACAAGTCTGAATGCGACCATTGCCTATACTTTAAAAATACTTCTTTTGTGCCTGTATTTTTATTGCTAT